AAAAAAAAAAAAAAAAAAAAAAAAAAAAAAAAAAAAAAAAAAAGAAATATACTTTAACCTCTCATTTGTTAAATATATGTGAGCAGTACGGAAGCAAAGAGAGGGATGTATACAGGAAATAATGTTTCTTTCTACAGGTTCTTAGCATTGAAACTCTCTTTTATAAACTTATACAGTCATAGCCATCTCATGCTGATCATTCCGTCATGTCAACATTGAAGAAAACACAGAATCTTTAACATGCCCGACACTGTTCAAAACTCTAAAGGCCATTGAGCATCTTTCCTTTTAAGACTTATTTTTATTTTTCAATGATGTGGGGTGGCATTTTATATGTAAATAACTACAGTGCTGTCAGAGGCCAGAAAGGGGTATTGGATACCCTGGTGCTAGAATTATAATGGTTCTGAGCTTCCTGTATATAGCTAATGGAAACAAAGCTCCATCCCTCTACAAAAAGAGTATACACTGTTAACTGTTGAGCCATCCCTCCAGCCCAAAGACCATCCAAAAGATGCCCAGGAAGTGGCCTGCCTGAGCATTCTATTTCAAATAGAACCTTCTGAGAGTGAGGGCTTAACCAAAATATACCTTTCTATTGTCCCCATGCAGCAGGAGTAGCTTCACCTTAACAGTGCCAAACTCTTTAATATATGCAATTTATTGGTATCTGTCCCATGCCTATCACTTTAACCACACCCACATGCATTTTCTCACTGAACTACTTATATGTCACATCCTTCTGCTTCAGTTTGTGCTTGGGAGACCTATTATAAATCTCACTAAAGACCTTCCAGTGCCTGATATCTCTTGAAATGTTCTCCATCAAACTAGTTAGTTCATTACTCTTTAATTCATCCACATGTACATTTCATTGTGGTAGAAGAATACAGCCAGAGTGTTTGCCAGTATATAGCTTCTATGACCTCTTGACCAATGTCTGACACTGTCCTTCTTTCTGTCTGAGGTCTCCCGAGCCAAGATTCAATATCCTCATTTATGCTGAAATACTAGTTTTCCACAGCCCCACTAGAATCACCTACCAAATATTGCTTCTAGTTTCCTAAAATTGTCTTGCCTCAAACTGTTTTGTATCTTCTTGCAAGCCAGTTTCAATGGCTTATAGACAACATGATCTTGTCTTGTCTACAGCAGCAAGTATATCTTGGTATCCATTTTCTGCATTAGTTATTTTCCTATCAATGCAACCAAATGACTGGTGAAAGGTAGCTAGAAGAAAGAAGGGTTTAGTCTAGCTCATGGTTTGAGGAGTTCCATGAGTATCCAAACTTTTGGCAATGTGGAATGGCATCATGTATACAAATCTATTGGGCCACATTTATAGCTCATGACAATACCTGAAACACTCATGAGTCATCCTGGGAAGGAATACATGGTAGCAGGAATGGTTTTCTGCTGCAGTGGCTTTATCTCTGTGTGCTTGATCAAATCTCAGCCAGTCAGGTAGCAGAAAAAGATGAAGGAAGTGGAGAGGAGGGAGGAAGGAGAGAGTGAGAGATCAGGCCCTAAGTATGGCCAGGCTATTTCTGCTTAAAGCCTATCTCCCTCATCCTAGGCTCCCCAGCCTTCACTATGACACCAGCTGGGCACAGATGTTCAAATATAGATCCTACTGTTGACACCCCATTGGAACAGGACAAGCAATTTCATTTGAAAACCTGTTTGTATTTGTAGAGAGTGAGTGTAGGCTAAAACAAATGTGAGAAATGGTAATAAGAACCGAGGGTAAAAATGTTAACCCCTACTTCTCTTTCAGGAATCACAGATGAAAGCAATGAAAGAGACTGTACAACTCTGCTTGACATCAGTTTTCCGTGAACAGCCTCCTCCTTTGAGTCTCAGCTCATCAAATCCAACACAGATGTTACATCCACCCAGGACAACTGCTTCCAAGATTCCAGAAACAAGGACAAAAAGCAAGGTAATTTTCATCCATGTGTTGCTAGCACTGGCTACAAAAGTATTATCTTTAAAATACACTAAGTTTACTTGCTGCACTGGACCCAAGTTGGACAACAAACTCACCAATTGATTTGGCATCTCTCAGCTGAGAGTAGCTAGGTCTGCAGTCAGAGAAGTCTGGCAGAAAGCAATGCTTTATTATCGAAGAGCTTGTTTCATCAGCAGGAAATTATATTTGTTGGCTTTACAACAACAAAAGCAGAAAAACAATGAATTTTAAATAATTTTTTAAAATACTTGTAAATGTACTTGTAGCACATTCTCATAAGCAACACAGGTAGGAACTTCTTTGGAAGCATAAACAACATTCCCCATAAAAACATGTGTGTTAAAATTAAAGACTATAACATTTAGCCCATGGGAATCATTTTATAGTATGTAAAAATATTCTGGCACAAAAAGCCTCAAAACACAGCATTTTAATTAGATCATTCTGTGTTGGCTTCCATTCACTTTTTTAAAAAAAGAAATTTTAATGTGCCTCCATTTTTCAGAGCAACTTCTTTGTAAATTTTCTCACCAAGTCCCCTAATACCTGACTATCAGCAGAAACTCAGGAGCTTCCTTACTGTGCTGGTTCCTCCCTACAGAAACCAGTTACTGATTTTAGCATGCTTATCCTATATGTATATGGTTAATATCTGCTTATACGTGAGTATATACCATGTATGTCTTTCTGCTTCTAAATAGGCAACAGAGGAAGAGGATCCAGACAGTCCTGATGAGACCCAAAAGGCCAGGGTCAAATGGTAGGGGAGGAGGACCTCCCCTATCAGTGGACTAGGAGATAGGGATGGGGAGGGGAGGGGCGGAGGGTGGAACCAGGAGGAGATGAGGAAGGGGGTTACAACTGGGATACAAAGTGAATAATTTGTTAAGAAGGAGAAGAAAAGAAAAGAAACCAGTTGTTGGGCTCTGTGTGTAAATAAAAGCATACAGCCTGAAAGAGCTGTTAGAGAAAAGAGTTTTGTTTCAGGCAGTGCTCTTAAAGAACAGCCTCCCTAGTAATTCGCTAAGAGGATGTGTTATGCGCAGCAGCCTGACTTAGAAATCTAAGCCTGTACAGGTAAGGGTTAAAGACACTTGAGAAATAGGAATGCAAAACGTGAACATTGTGTGTTCTTATAAAATGAGCTTTATTCTTGTGTATTTCTTACTCTTCTTATTTTAGCATTGTTACCTGCGATTGGAAACATAAGAGATTTAGTTTATGTAAGCTCATAATATATTAACATATTATCCTATTTAAAAAAAAAA